CAGGGCTGGAACTTGGGACCAAGCAATTGTGCTTGCCACATAGGTGCTTATGCCTCTGAGCTATCTCCCCATCCCTGGACTAGCTGCTCTGAACTTTTAGTTTTAGTTTACATTAAAGTATGGTACATTTTAGATGTGTGTACATACCTTTTTTACAGGTGATGGTAAAGGGCTGATCAGTTGCTACTGAGCACAGTTGAAGCAAAACAAGATGTCAGCAAACTCTTCAGGACAAGGTAATACATGTTGGAATTTCTAGTATTACTAGAAACTATAGTAAATGCACTTGAATTAGAAGATACTTTTGGACTTGAATTAGAAACACTTAGTATAGGTCAGTTATGGTAGCCAGAATTTAAAAAGTGACACACTGGGGAGATAGCTTGGAGGTCTGAGTGCCTGCCTGGCAAGCCAAGGACCCATGTTCAATCCCCAGTACCACATGCTGTGCTGGCCCAGCCCTGGGCCCTCCTAGCCAGCCACTGAAACCAGACGCCATGGCGCACACCTGTAATCCCAGTGCTGAGAGGCTGAGACATGAGGATCACTATGAGCCTGAGTTATGTAGTGAGATTGTGTATCAAATAAATAAAAGATTTTAAAAAAAAAAGTGGGAAAGAAAGTGACTAACAGTGAAACCCCAGATTTGAAATCAGCCCAATAGTTTGTCAGGTATACAGTATCTTTAATGTTATTAATCCTGTATTTTCACTGGTGTTAAGCTTATTCATGTTGTAAAACTTTGACTGACGTCTGTGCTCCTTTATGGTTTTATTTGAAGTCAGAATCACTTTTACATGGTTACCAGGCAATATTCATGCCTTTGTCATCATTGTTTTAAAAAATTTGCACATACATTTCACCTGGGTTAAGCTGTCTCTTACCAAGCTAGATACGTGAGTTGCTTTTTATTCTAGAATGTTTTTAAAAGTAAAGCTTAATCTCTAGAATATTAAATCACATTTTGTTGTCTCCTATTTAAGAATGTATTTTTATGTTTAAAAACTTAAAGTAGACCTCTATTTCTTTTCTTTATGAAGTCTGAACTTGTTTGATTTTTATGCACTAGGTGTGTTGCAAAAATACAACGAATGTTTAAGTTAAGTGATTCATTATGTATTAGAATAAAAGACACATTGCCATTAATACCCCTCAGAATATTTTCCTAAAGCTTTTCTGGAAGACCTTTATGTCTTACGTGGCACTGGTGGGATTTCCTCAATGACACGGCATAATTTTTTTTTTCAGACGGCCTTGTAGTTTATACTGTTTTTGTTTTGTTTTCTTTTTGAGACAGGGTCTCACTGTGTAGGTTAGGCTGGCCTTGAGCTCATGTCTACAGTTGCTGCCTTCTCTGACACTTCAAGCTAGCAAGGCAAGACTACCTGAGCTCTTTGTGGATTAGAATGGGGGTGTATGTCAGGCAACAGCCACCAGTTCCTGGATCTCAGTGTTTAGTTTTTCTCTAGTTTAGCTCAGTCTTCAATACCTTCAAATAATGAATTTAAAAACAAAAGTTTATCCAAAATTTCTTCATGACAGGGTTAGTCAGCCCAGATGGCTATGCCAGTGCTGAAAGTTAGAAGAGTGCTGATTCTGTTTTAGTTTATTAATTGTATTTAGGAACAAACTAAAGGTTATGTAAGTTTTTTAGAAGTATAACAAATATAGGTGCGTGGGGCATGATGGCACCGAGGCAGGATTGCTGCACATTGGGTCAGCCTGCACTACACAGTAGGTTCAAGGTCAGCCAGAACTACATAGACCCTGTCTCAAAAGAACAAAACAATAAATATAGGTTAAGCATCCCTAATCCAAAAATCTGAAATTTTCACATGCCTCAAAATCTGAAGTTTTTCAATTAGCAGCATAATGCTGTAAGTGGAAAATTCCCCATTCAATCTCAAGTGATAAGTTGGAGTCAAACACAGGCACATTAACAATATTATATTTTTTTCTTTTCTTTTTTTTGGTGGGACCAGGAATTGAACTCAGGCCCTTGCACTTATCAGGGAAGCACTTATTCTACTGAGCCATCTCCCCGGCCCCTATTTCTTCTTTTTTGAGATGGGACCTTGGCTAAGTGTTCCAGACTACCCCTGAATGCACAGTCCTCCTAAGTAGCAGGAACAGATGGTACCTGAAAATATTGTATGAGATTACTCTTTGGTTACACATGTAAAGCATATATGGAACATACATGAGTTTTATGTGTAGATGTTGGTGTATCTGCAAATATTCCAAAATCTTGAAGAAGTCTGAAATACTTCTGGTCTCAATCAGGCCTTTTGTTTGGGATAATCAAGTTTCCTTGTGAAAAGCTCGATAGGGTGGCAGCTTTAACAGCTGGAACCACTCGTATTTTCTAGTCTCCTATCAAATGACCATGTATGATCTGTGTGCTCTGTGGACTCCTAACAGGTCAAAAAGTCATTGACTTTTTCACCTCTAAATTGTAAAGGTTCATATTAAAAATGTTAACGGGGCTGGTGAGATGGCTCAGTGGTCTAAAGCACCTACTTAGAACAAGCTTAGCAAAGCACAGGGACTGCGGTTCAATCCCCAGCACCACATGCCAGCCAGCCCCGCCCCCTGGTGGGCTGAGCTGGGGACACACACACACACACACACAAATAAATAAATTTTTTACAAAAGACACCGAGTCAGATACAAAAAAAAAGTTACATTTAAAAAAAAAAAATGTTAACTTGGGTTCAGCCCCTAGCACCTTTCCCACCCCCCACCCCCAAACCATCATGAACACCAAGAGAAGTCTATTTAGGAAAGAAAACCTGCTGCTAAAAATCATACAATGCAGTTAAAATGAAAGTACATTTTAGACTACCTTCTGTTCTAATAACACAAGATGTACAGTTTTCTGGCTGACTTTCCTTGTTAGCGGTTGCACTGAAAACAGCCATTTTTGACATTGCCTTTGACTGATCCACAGTCAACTGACTATGAAGGGGCGGGGGACATGGCTCAGTAGAATAAATGCTTCCCTGCAAGCGCAAGGGCCTGAGTTCAATCCCGGGTCTCCCTCCCCTGCACACCCCCCCCCCAAAAAAAAAAAAAAAGACTATGAAGCAGCCATAATCTAAAGCGAGGTGAATTTAGATTAGCCATTGGCTGTTTTGCTTTTCTGCCAACAATTTTACTGGTGTCATGGAGCTATTGCTTTTTGGACCAGCAGAGGGCAGCCACACCATATTTTATAGATGCATAGACTGAAGTTTTTAAGTTTTTGCTAGGATCTATTCTATTTTACTTCTTTTTTTTTTTTGAGAAATTTATGTAGTTCAGGCTGACCTTGAATGCCTTGTGTAGCCCAGGTTGGCCTCAAATTTATGGTGATTCTCCGGCCTCTGCCTCTCCAGTGCAGGGATTATAAGAATGTACCACATGTGGCCTGTACTTTATTTTCTAAATTAAATTATTTCTGGGATGTTTATGTGAATAGGAATCACTTAGTACGAAGACTGAATGCTAAGTGCTTTAGTTACCTTAAAATACTCTTGCTCTGTGCATTGTAATTTATTAGTGTCCCTGGTTCTGAGGGACTCCCATTGGATTCTCTAAGTCCCCTTTAAAATCTAGCCCTGTGTCATAGGATGTGGTAATTAGGACTTCCAAATTTCATAAGCCTTTGGCAGTCGCTGAATTGTTATTCTTTTATAGCATCAATGTAGTGAGGAACATTTGGTAGGTTCTCAATATTTATTTCACTGATTAAAATCTAACACTTCGAAAATTTTAATGTGTAGATGCAGATTGTGAAACTGTAATTTGGTCATGGCACCATTTCTGTGTCTTTCATTGTGTCAGTGTCTTTTACTATTAGTAAAATCAAAGTCCTATAATAATAGCTGGGTTGGTCCAACCTGATTTCAGAAAGATCTCATAAAATACATGAGTAAAGAATGTGAATTCTTAAAGGCCAGCTAAACAGCTCAGTAGATTAAAGCGCTTGCAAGCAGGCACAAGGGTTAGGGGTTCAATCCCCAGGCCTGCCATGCTGGCCCTGCCCCCGGGGCGCGCTGAGATAGGAATTGAGACTGGGTGTGGTGGTGCATGCCTGTAATCCCAGCTCTTGGGAGGCTGTAAACAGGTGGATCACTACTAAGTCAGATCTAGTAGAGACCCTGAACACCCTGTAGCTCCTTCTCTAAAATACAAAAAAAGGAAAAAAAAGAATAAGTTCTTTTATATTTGTCTCACAATACTGATAGTAACTGTAAGACCTGCAGATTAGATAGTGGAAACTGATTTGGGGCAACTCTGGCCGCTCTCAACTGTGATTTCATGTTGCTGTATAGGAGTAGATTGGCATAGCTCCTGGGAGATATTTTTTGTTTTGAGATAGGATCTCACTGTGTAGTTCAGGCTGGCCTCAAACTCACAGTGATCCTCCTGCCTCTTTTTTGAGTACCGGGATTACAGTTGTGTGGCACTATGAGCAGCACTCCTGGAAGTTGTCATTTCTTTAAAAAAATATTTACTTATCTGTTTGTACAGCATCTCATTACAGCTTGGACTGTAGTGATCCTCCTGTCTCAGCCTCCCCAGCACTGGGATTTATTTATTTATTTATTTATTTATTTATTTGGTACCAGGTCTCACTATGGACTCATAGTGATCCTCCTGTCTCAGCCCAGGCATTACAGGTGTGCTCCACCATGCTCTATTTTGGGGCCAGCACTGCATATGGTGCCAGGGATGGAACCTGGGTCTTCGTCCTTGCCAGACAGATACTTAGACCACTTTGGCCTCAGACTCAATTCTATTTTAAACCATGTATGGTCCACAGGAGAGCAGATTTACCCTTCAGGTTTCTATTAAGGCATGCTACGTCTCAATAAAACATAGCTAGATGTGTCTCTAAAACCTCTTAAAATTTTTAGTTGGTCATGGTGATGCAAGCCTATGGTCTCAGCACTTTGGGAGGCTGAGGTAGGATGCTCCTCTGAGCTATCTAGTGATTTAGAAAGATTCTGTCTCAAAATAAAAGTGGGTTAGGGGGCCAGGGAGATGGCTCGGTAGAGTAAGTGCCTGCCTGGCAAGAACAAGATCCTGAGTTCAATCCCTGGTACTGGGGAGGGAAAAAAAAAGTAGGTTATGGATATAGTTTAGTGGAAAGGCCTTAGGTCCAAGCCTTAGTACTGCCAGTAAGTTAAACAAAATCTTATATTTATACCTTGTTAAAGATGAGAGTGTGAATACAAAAACATAATTTGGA